AGTTACGCGCCGGTGACTACAAAGAGCAGCGAGTCTTTATCATGATAAATTTTTAAGATCTGCTATGTGCTCCGTCATATGAAGTTTTAATATCAAAAATTGTGTGTCAATTGTGCGAAAGATTCTAAAATACTTTTACGTTATACAAGGACTTAGGATATTTTTTCTGTTACAATTTTTTTGAAATTTCAAATTAACATTCCATTTTCAGTTAAAACTAATTTATTTAATATTTTACAGGTTTTTTTTTTACATAATAGATCGATATGTAAATCGTTATAAGACTTTGAATTAAAATTTCTTTAAACTATAGACTGTGATCAAAATTTTAAAACAAAAGTATAATGTTGTAAGATAGAAATAATTGTCCCTACAATTTTTTTTAGTGATAATTATCCTTAAAAGAGATTTGAAAAGAAACTTTTCCAACAATTGCAAACTAACACTTTAAACTGCCTTAAACTGCTTTAAAGCGCTGATTTGCGTTGATTAGTGAGCAATGACTTATCATGCTTCATGTGCTACATTTATAACATACATGTACACGTACATATGTCCGCATATGCCCGTCTACTTATAAGTTGATCATGCAACAAGAGGCAATCGAGAGATCGGCCGATCTCTCGAGGACATCGGCTAAAAAACCGCCGTTCATTTTTGCTACAAGAGATATATATCAAACTGCAGAAAGAACGTACGAAAATTTAAAGAAAAGTTTTAATAAAAAAAATATAAAAGTGTACGAGAAAAAACGTGGAGCAGTCGAGTATAATACAGAATTGAAGAAGAATTGAAGAGAACAATAATAGAAAATAACAGTGTAAAAGAGAAAGATTATGCATTTTCGGCAGTATAAAAAACGTTGCATAGTAATAAGAAAATATAGCAATTAGAAAAAAAATTGCATTGCGGATAAGGAGCGCTTAAAGTAAAGATAAAAGAAAGAAAAGATTGAATAAAAAGAAAATTGAATAAAACAATGATAGGTGCAACGTACAATGCATGAATAATATTCGATATGTAAGTGTATTGTGTGTGCGAAAACAATAGTTAAAGATATAATAAGAATCAAAAATAAAAATAATAAATCTAAATAATATAATATATACGCTTATAAATGACTTGTCAATAAAAACAATGCAATAGTGGAGTGTAAGTTGTGTAAAGTGATAACGATATACTAAAAATAGAAATACTATTAGTATTATCGCTTTTATTTTGATCCGGCAGAGATACTACTCACAACAAAAGCAATTAGAATAAAATTTTGAATTTTCTTCAAATTATTTTCATATATTTATCATAAACACATAATTAATGTCAATCAAACATAATTATTTGACGTTCATATAAAAAAAACATTAATTTATTTCGGAAATAAAAGCGATAAAATAAAGAGAAGAGATACAAATAAGTTTAAATAAAAGAAGAGGAGAAAAAATAAAAAAGTAAAAAAAACTTATAAAAATAAATTTAAAAAATTTTACAAACATCCATGTTATCAATGTATCATATCTCAAAATCAGACGAAGATTTTCGTCAAGTAACGCAGACGAATATTGAAAAGCAAGAACAAAAATGCATGCAAAAAAAGTTCATAAGGACGGATTTTCAAAAATTGTTCCCTACAACGGAGGATCAAAAACGAACGATTAGACGGAGAGACAAGAGGTCGCTTTCGATAACCTGTCGTAAATGCGATAGCAGTTAGTTATTCTTTTTTTTTTTGCACTTTCGATGTTATTTTCTATTCCAAATTCTATTTCAAGAGGCGACAGTGACAGCGGACTGATATCCAGAGCCGGCGCTTCCGGAAGTTTACAATGCATGTCGCGCATTTTACGCACGCACTCGGTTAAGATGTAAGAACACACTATCACAACTATATATGCATATTTTTTTTTTCTTTTTTTTTTTTTCATTAAATCGTTCCGGCTATTAATCTCACCGATATTGCTGGGTGTAACTTTTGAACTCTTGTTGGCGCTTCGCCATTCGTTATCTGGGTAAATGCTAAATACATGCACACTTATTTTTGACTGCTGCAATACCGCAAGATCAGTTTAGGAAGCAAATCGTACGATGTCGATTGCCATACTATAACGTGTACAATGGAAGATATAGTAAAGGAGTTGGAACAGTTAGAATAGAGCATAGAAGCTAGTTACAAATGAATGCTGTCTATAAATAATACAGCGGCTATACTTTTCGAGATAGGTAATTTAAATGAAATATCTTGCAAATATCCCTGCTTTTTCTAGTTTCTTTTCACTTATTTTTTTTAGAGGGAGTTCACTCTTTGATAAATAATGTATAAAGTATTTTATTTCATAATCACAACGTTTGAAATAATTATTTACAACTTGTCTGTATAAATTTCTTTTTTCACTTTAACTCTAAATGCGAAATACTATGAATATTTATGTGATAAAAAAGAAAACCATAACGATACGTGTGGAAAAAAAACTTTCACTAGTTTAATTTACTAACAGCAAATTATCTTTCGTTTCTCTGTGGTTTATCTTTTGCATTAAAAAATGAGGAATTTCTTATCATCGTTACGAACAAATGAGCCTTCAACATTTGCAATTAATAATCCGCCCGATGCGACGGCGATCTACAATACAAGGCGAGTTTGGTAGAATTTACAAGAATTTCGATCTCGATTTACGTATCCCGATTGCAGCGCTGGAAAATAAAACTGTAATTGACGCGATATAGATAATAATAAGTTAACGCTTTATCGGAATGCCAAAGTGTCTGTAATCGCGCGATACGCGATAATCGGCCACAATGCGGCACCACGCTGTGCCGCGCCGGTGAACTCGCCATCGTGCTCGGGGCATATTACGCTTATAAAAAATTCAGATTCGCCCAGAAAGAAAGCACGCCAGTGCCAGTCTTGCGGTTAGCGAGACCACGATCGGCCTCCCTTGCCGATCTGAGTTCCTAAGCAGGTCGTTGATCTTATTTTGTTTCTTCCCCTTCCTCTTTTTTACTTTTTTCGTTTCTCCCTCTCTCTCTCTCTCTCTCTCTCTCTCTCTCTTTCTCTTTCTCTTTTTTCGCGAACACGGGGGCCTTAATAACAGGTTGCGGTTCTACCGCCACTATTACGTGCTTAGCGGCAAGTGGCTCGAAGACAGTTTCGCCCGAGGGACTCGTGTGGCGGTGGACCGTTTGGAGCTCCTTCTGCTCCTTAACAAGTGTATATTATGCACGCAGTGCATACAGGGTGTCCCCGAAAACGTGGTATCCTTGACCTCCACTTTCATCTGATTGTCGTGGTAAAATTTCTAATTTTTAGTACACCTTGGTAGCAATCAGTAATAAATCATATAATCTGCCAATTACGTGATACCGTGCACCTTGCGTAATCGGATTATCATTTATTCCTCCCATTCCGACGATAGGTAACTGCAAGTACATGCAACTTATACAGATATAATGTAAGATTAATTGTTAGAAACATTTGTCGTTACATTATATTTGTGAGCAACGTAGTCTTCCCTGATTGAATTCCCACAATGAGTAATATTGTCCAGTAAAGATTGGGAAGAACCTCTAAAAATTTGAAATCTACGAATCCTAGAACGTTTCTAGATATTACGAAGAATCTTTCTGATTTTTAATTTCATTCTGTTTTCAATCTTTCATCATTCTGCCCGATTCGTATTGTATACTTTTTAAATATAAAAGAATATAAATAAAGAAACATGCGTGCAGCAGGCGAGTTATGCAGGTACTCGTCTGATAAATCGTAGAGTTAACAGCAACGGATGTCGGATGTGAGAGCCAGTTATATAATTGTTACTTCGACACTATTAAGTTACAAGATGCTCATCAGCGGCGATGATACGATGCAATTCAGTATATGCACAATGTTGCATGCGAGAGCGTGTACATACGCTAGTCACGCCGGACGGATCGCTGAGTCTCGCTGAGATTAATTTACTTGACGTTGCCAAGGAAAACATGATCGGTGTCGTGTATGAAATATTACCACTCGCGGTAATTAATTCTGAGCGAACCTGGCGCCTGGCTGGCATGATCTTTGGGATAACGCCTTTTGCTAAGATATGCAACGAGTTTTTGCAATCGTTTTGCAATCAGACTAAACATCTCGCAAAAAAAAAAGAATCGCGACACAGCACATACATTGATATTTTGTTGTAAACAATTTTCAATACTATGCGTACTACATTGCGAGAGCATACATTAATTACCGTGCAGAGTAATGCTTCTCACAGATTTAAGTGCTCTGACATTTAACAGTTTTTTTTTTGGAGTTACACTGTTAAAAATTTCTCGAAATTTAATATACTTTTAAGTTACGCAAATTTGAATTTAATTTCGATGATGATCACATTAAATTTTTAATGTAGGTATTTATAACTTAAAAGTACATTTGTGTACGTGAAATTTAATGTACACGTTCATTATATTTAACTACTTAGTTTTCAATTAAATCATTCATTACTTTTAAGCTTCAATTACATGTAAAGGAAGCATTTCTAACAGTGTATGTATGATAAAATTTCAAACTATATATCATTGAATTAGTATTCTTTTATTCTTTAATATTAATATATCGCGACAAAAATATACAAAATTTTTAATAAAACCTAAATTGTGTTTAAAAGATAAATTGTTTTAAAAGATTCAAGTTTTTAACTTTTATTAAAAAGATTTACTATGAATAATCCACATCAACATTTTTCTCAGACAGAGATAAATATAAAAATTAATTTCTAAAAATAATTGTTGTAAGTTATAAAAGTACACATAAAATTTCTATAAAATTATTACATTTAACAATACAGAGTGTTTCATGGAATTGAAAGACTGAAAATGATCAATATCTCGGAAATGATAACAAACATGGGAAAATGTTACAAGATAGAATAAAACGATTTTATGTTGTATCCATCCTATAAGTTCCTCTTTCTCACTTCATGGGACATTCTGTATACAGAAGGAGGGAAACGGAAGAAGAAACTTACGAGGCTGCGCTAAGGCAAAGACACTCTCCGTCTTCGCGGCGTATTCATCGACCTCCTCGTGGTGCGTGATACCGGGCTCTAAAGGCTGGTCGGCCTGCATCCCGTACGTGTCCATCAGCTTCGAGATCGGCGGGATCCTCGGCAGAGCTCGCCCCGTCATATTCGGCGCCTGTTTTAAGCCGAGCTTATTCAGAATCTGCTCCTTGATCGCTTCCAAACTAAGCGCGCGGATCTCCTCATGCATCCTGCAGGCGTTGCAGGCGTTACCGGCCATCGCCAAGTGCCGGACGTGGGCTCTCTCGATGCCAGGCGCGTCGAAGGCATCGAGGAGAACCAGCGAGAGTAATAGCAGCGCCCTCGTGACCATCTTGTTCAAGGTCGCCCTTGGTCGGATCAAGCTCTACGATCGGCTTTCGTCGCGAAAGGAACGATCAGATGATCAATGGCATCGTCGTTCCCGCCAAGTCCTTGTCTTTCCTCAAGACAAGACTTAAAAATTTCTCTTAATTTCCCCTAATAAAACGATTCTTTGTTTAACGTCTGATAATCCCTGCACTGTGTTCTCCCCTTCTGTTTCTATTATATTATATTTTCCCCTTTCGATGGCCTCCCTCACGATTACAGAAAGTCTTTTCTTCCTCTTCACGATTCTTCTATACTCCACTTCTACTTCTTTTCGTGTAGCCCTGGTCTCATTCGCGAAGAAAGTCTCTTTCTTCGTCGTTTATCTCGCAGCGCCAGCTTCTTCCTGAACTTACGCAACCATACGTTCTCCACTTCCAGTAACCGCCTGGTCCCCTTATCGTGTCCTGAAGTCGGTACTCCGCCGGAACTAGGCGACCGGCCTCGATCACGATCGCGATCTGCACGATCCAGTTTCGCTTTCTTCCGTCCTACGTCACAAATTTATTAACTCCGTGGAAAGCTCCAGTCTTCTCGATTACACAGAAGATGCGATTAGATCGAGAAAGAGGGAGAGAAAGAAAAAAGAGAGGGTGGGGGAGAGAGAGAGAGAGAGAGAGAGAGAGAGAGAGAGAAAGAATCGCCGGTATATTTTCCGAGCGATTCGCTTCACTTTATGGGGTTCACCAAAACCGTTCTCACGCACACCAATCACAGCGAGAGAAAATCACAAGGCACTTGAGGGAGTCTCGACGGGACTTTGTGCAAGGTGTCCTGAACAATCATGCGGCCGGCTGCATCCTCGTGACCTTCAGGTTTTAGCGCCAGTTTGGCTGTCGTTCCGAAAACGTGCTGTACGATCTGTAGAGTTCAGTGACAGATCCTATTTTCTATGAAACACGCTTCGGACGTCATGGCACCAAATCCTGGAACTGGTTACCTCGACCTTCATCAACTGATCCTACTTTGTCGCGTGACGTCCTCGTTCTTCCTTCCCGTCCACTTCCGGTATTCTGACTTGGCACCACCGAGTTGCTACTACTGCGGGTACCAGTACCCGTTTTCTAGTGCCAACCAGCTTCACCCTCGTTTGAGGATGCCGCTCTCCAAAATTAGGTGGAGAACAATTGTGAAGAATAATGATGCGTGATAGTGCGTGGGCAGCGATGGCTCAGGTGACGGACTGGTAGAACCCCGATGGATCTTAAGAGCTTGCCGGCCTGTCAAGCACTGAGACAGGAGGCGCGAATTCTCACCGCATATATGTCCGAGGTGGCCTCCTCCTCTCTTCTTCTTCTTTCTTCTTCCCTCTCCCTCTTTCTCTTTCTCTTTCTCTTTCTCTCCCTCTATCTTCCTCTCCGCTATCACGCTGTCTCCCTCCTTCGCACAATCGCCGCGACGTCTCTTTCTCCGTCTCAGTAT